CTCCTCACCATGGCGCATTCCTTACTGCACTGCTTGAGCTCCTCCTTCAATTCCTCCTCCTCCAGATCGTTGACTGCCTGCGAGAGTCGTAGCCTGAGTTGCAGGCGACGAGCGAGCAGGGCACGGCGTTCAGCAGCTTGCTGACTAAACATGTCCGAGCAGCTGGCTAGAGATCCACTAGAGATGCTTGCTGCCGTCTCCTGCAGCGCTGAATTGAACTTCTCAAAATAACTGCCAGGCTGGCCGTGCTTGAGGGCCTCTCCAAGATCCTCGGACAGCTCCTGAACCTTCTGAGAGGCCTTCTCCAGGAACGAGTGGCGACCTTCCGAGAACTTCATCGCCTCAAAATTCCAGAAAACGCGTGCAACACGATCCTCCTGAGGGGGCTGGAAGTCCCATTTTAAATTGCAGTGCAGTGGAACGTGGTCCCTGGGGTACTTGCTGGGGATCAGCTGGTGCTTTCTCATCAACTTCATCAGGGGGCCTCCAGAGATCTCGAGGGACGCAGCGGCAGCAGGCCCAAAGATGTAGTCCACACGACTGGACTGAGACTGGTTGCCAAACCACGTAGGCTCCACCTTCTCTCGCAGGCCTAGCAGAACATACCCGTACTCCTCCATCAGCTCCCTGACCTGTTCACCAGCTCCCCCCACCATCATCTCCTTAGTGCTCAACTCCTCCCTCACGACGCTCGTATCCGCATACCTCCATCTTCCCTCCTTCAGCCCGATGCCTAGCCCGTCATTCAGATCCATACTGATCAAGGGCAGGACCCTGGTATGGTGAGCCAGCTCAGAAACCACGGAGCGAAGCCAGACGACCAGCTTCTCGACAGTAGCTACATAGTTCGGACGGCCGAGTACACCTCGAGGCCGTGGCGGGAAATAGGCGCCAATCACTGCCAGGTCGAGCCCTGCCCGCTTGACCCTCACGCCCAAGCCACGGCCTCCGAGTGCGGGTGGAGGGAGCCAGTGCCTGACGATGTGACTTTCTCTCAACCCGCAGCTGAACGTCATAGATACACCAGTCGAGCGATTCGTGTAGGGACCTCTGCCATATCCTGCCTCGAGCAAAAGTACACCGTGCACCCGCTTTTTTGACAATGGGGAGTCACGAGCAGCACGGGCCTGTGTACCCACGAACACCGCCACATGGAAGGACTGGGCGGTGGTGACGATCACCTCTTCTTGGCGGTCCTGATTGTTGAAACTCAGGGGATTCCAATGCAAGAATCGAACAACTGACATGAAGACGGCCGCGCTCGGCAGCCTGACCCACTGGCCAAAAAGAACGTTGCAGTAAACAGAGTGTGTGTACTTCATTAGATATCGAAGGTGGGAAGTGCAACAGGGCGCGCTCGCGCCACCTGGAGGAGGAGGAGGAGGAGGAGGAGGACCCCCCGCCTGCCCCCATCCGAACGAGTGGTGAAATCTCCATGGTCACTTTGTCGTGCTCGGCGTCGTGGTCTTCGGAGAGGGCAGGCGAGTGCCGCAGGCAGGTTTCGTTCGAACCGCGACTCTGCCATGGGCTCCACTCCACTCCACTTCCCCCCCCAGTACTCGGGGGCGGCCAAGGAGGGGGGCGTCCAGAGGGGGGGTGCAAATCATGGCCGGCGGCACGTGCGCGGACCGGGGGGGGCCAGGGAACGTATTGAAACAAGCAGGAGCGCCATGAAACCTCGGGAGAGATCATGGCCCCCGCCACGTCACCCTCCTCTTGGCCGCCCCCGAAGGGCCTCTCCTCGGGCTGGCTGACAGAGGACCGCCGGAGAAGAAGCCCAGGGCCACAGCGTGCGCAGCAGTGGGTCAAGAAAGCCCGGCCGCCCGCCCCTGCCTCTCGCTCTGGAGCCTCTGGAGCCCCATCATCGGGGCCCCTGGACAAGACGAAGCCAGGACGAGGATCACATCGGGTGAGGATAAACCGAGAATCTCCGGGATCCGGCGGCTCCGGAGGACGTCTCGGGCACCGCGTGGCCTTCCCAGAGCGTTCGGGAGCGCTCCGGAGCGGATGCGTCCTCTGCCCCGGCCCCCGTCCGACTGCCGCCTCTGCGGACCGAGTCCGTCGTCGCCGAGAGGCCCAGCCGTCGGCGGAGAGTCGGCGGAGGAGAGAGGGCTCCTCCTCCTCCTCCTCCTCCTCCTCCTCCGAGGGGCAGTCATCTTGCTGGGGCAGGGCAGCCATCTTGCTGGGGCAGTCATCTTGCTGGGGCAGGCTCAGCTGCCCCGACAAGCAGCACGCGAGAGACGTAGCGTATTTGCTGCGGAGCCCAGCGCGCAGCCTGCAAACGCGCGCATCGAGGCCATGCTTTCGCCAGAACGTGGGCCGATACGCGGAGCCAACACGCAACGTACTGGCACGGACGTCTTGAGCACGGCACGTGCTGCGTACCAAAACGTGCGCATCGAGGCAGCTGAGCACGCGAGTGAACCGCGGGAGCTCCGCGCGGAGCGCGCCGAGGGCATGCGCTGGAGGCGTCGCCACTGGGTCGCCCAGCGTCGGTCCAAGGAAAATCCACGCGGAGCGCCGGAAGTTTCTGAAAGGCAGGCACCCAGGGGCACGCAACAAAAATGGGCACAAAAATCCCTGGGCGCCAGAGCTGTCTCCATACCGTCTGTTTTTGTTTGTCTCCCCCTCCACGTCCCATATGTTTTGCCACAAACTGGTGGGCATCGCGGAGGAGTTGTGTCTGTGTATGTTTTCTCCCCTCCTGAATTTCGTTTCTGCAGCTTTTTCTGGTTCGAGTCCTGCTGGTGGGGTCAGCTCCCTGTCGGAGCGCCTCCGAGGCACCTGCCGCCCCCCGCCCAGACACTCCAAGGGGCGGCGCAGAGTCAAGTCCTTGACCAGCCGTCTCTTTGGGGCGCTGGCACGGGGGTTAAAAAACCAACTGTCTCCGACCGCTTGGACGCGGCACCGCATTTGCACACGATTTGGCACACACTTGGAACCGGATTTGGACCGGATTTGGACCAGGTTCGCCCCTTCACAAAGGAGACGATCAGAACATGGATGAGAGGAGGAAGAGGAAGGGGTAGGAGCAGCAGGAGGAGCAAGTGCGGTCCAAAAGCAGGAAACGACATGGTTTCGACGTCGCCGCCTGAAGCTCCCATGAACAGACATCGAACGCCCACATGCTGTGGGTTCCATGCGCCTTGGCGAGAGCCCGGGGCATCCCAGGATACCGATGCTGAGCATTCCATTACCCTGCGCCAGGCCGCTCTGGTCCCACATGTGCACCCCGCTCTGGCCGCTCTGGCCCCACATTGCGGAGGAGATGGTCACGACCATCTGAGACCAATTCGATTCTGAGGCTGGTTGGCTCCACCTGCGAAATGGGTCGGGTTGGACTTCGCAATCTTCGCGACGTCAGGGAATCCTGCTTTTCGAGGACGGCGCCCATGTACCGCACCATGCTTGGACTCCATCCAGGCCCCGCTACAACGCGGTGCGGTGCAGACTTGTTCGACCCTGACGGCCTAGGATCTACGCGCCGTACCATTCATGGGTCGAGGATCGACGACAGCTCGGGAGATGCCAACACGGTATGCTGCATACAGGTCGTCCGCGGATACTTCGCTGAGCTGGTGCAGGGACCCCGCCAGGGGCCCTTCTGGTGGGCGTCGCGCCAGCGAGCGTGAGCGCCACGAAGAGCGCAGAATGCTCTGCGAGTCTGGGCGATTGGACGGCACCTGGAGTGGGGCCACACAACACGGCTGAACTTTACTCACTACATTCGTTGCGTCATGTCTTCAATAGCTGCACTGCACGTTTGGTTTGTGATTGAATCGTTCTGCTGAGAAGCGCTCACCATGGTGCTTGAGTGATACCTACCGCCCAGCCTGCTCTCCGTCAGCTGTTCGACCGCAAGATCAATCCGCAAACCGTCGATGAAGATCCGCCCTTCAACAAAATATCCGCTCCCCACTTGGGAGCCAAGTCCTGGAAGGTCTGCATCATAACGATGAAGAGAGATCAAGCCCAATTCAGGGGCTACTGATCCAAATCAAGCTGGAGTAAGCCAAATATGAGCCATATTGAGCCGGATTGGACAGGATTGCGCGGGACGGACCCGGATAACTAGACTGGATTATGCCGGGCTAGAACATTTCGGCCGCGGATATACCAGCGCCGATTGTGAATTCAACCTCGCAGGAGTTTCATCCTAAGCTCAGCAACCCTCGCTGGGGATGCTGGTAAACTTGAAGGGGGGAGGGGGGGGCTGGTCACGCAGGCTGTCGGTGATACCGTACTCGACTGACCTTTCGCTCGCACTCTGCCAGACTGCGACGAAATCCCCGCAGTTCTGGTCTCGGCGCCGTGGACTTACAGTAGGAGCTCGACCACAAGAAACCTTCCATGAGAAACCCGACCCTGAGACCCCAGGGCGTCCATTGATTTTTGGTGTGGGAAAGTCGCGCTTTCCATCGCGGACCCATCGAAACCCAAGAAACCCAGGACACCCTTGGAGGCAAGCAGGGTGCTTCTTGGCATGGGCTTCCACTGTAGACCGTCGACGCAGCACAGCTAATGGGAAACAGCACCTGCGGCGGCCCCGCACCACCGGCGTCTTGGTGCCAAGGAGAAGCGCTCACAGAAAAAGGCGGCCCTGTGTACACAGCGCGCCTGCCATGTCTTGTCATCGCTTGGACGTCCATTCCCCGTGCATGTTTCGAATTCGCGCGGGAGTTTTTGCAGGATGATCAACAAAAACTCCTCGATGGCCCTCGCCGATGAAAACATGCACGCGTCCGAGCGATGCCGAGATATGGATCGATACGAGACCCGCTTCACAAAAGTGACCTGTCTGCTTCTGTCCTCTCTTACATCTGCATGCTCGTGTCACGCACCGCCTCGCACTTCGCACTATGTGGCCCTCGCCGCTTCCAGGTGACGGAGCGGGCCATCTTTGCACAAGCCCCCGAGACTGAAGGGTAAGGAACCTGATAACGAATCACGCGCAAGCCTCCCCCCGTCCTCCCCCTCTCTTCTCCGTCGAGGAGAAGGTCCTGGAGCTGCTTGACGAACACAAACCCGGCGGTGTGCCATGGCTTGACGTTGTCCGCCACAGCGTCCAAGGCCTGCTTCCGCGCGCACTGGGACAGCCGCGAACAACGGGCACCGGGAGGCACGTGCAGTATGAGCCAATGGAAACCAACCCTCACGCTTCACCCTGCCGATCTCGCCCCGACCGCTTCCCTCCTATCCCCCCTCGCTTCTAAATTTCGTTGCCTCTTTCTCTTTTTGTGTATGTCTCTCTTTCTTGTTTCTCTCCCCCTCTCTCTCTCTCTCTCCCCCTCATTGTTTCGTTCTCTCCTTCTCTCTCTCTCTGTCTCTCTTGCTCTGTGTATAGAGATGTACTGCAGATGCACGCTCTGTACGTAGATCTCACACACGTGGTTACCATGTTCTGTCACTACGTGTATACTTATGTGCTCCTGCATGTGTGCTAAGATGTATGTGCATATCACGCTCCCTCGCCCTCTCTCTCTCTCTGTGTATCTATATGTTTTTGTTTTGTTGTTGCTATCCCCCTCTCTTTCTCACTGTCTGTCTCTCTATCTCGCTCTTGACTCTCTCTCTCTCTCTCTATGTTTTTTGTTTCTCTCTCTCTCTCTCTTTTCCTCTCCATCTCTCTCCCTCTCTCTCTTTATCCCTGTCCTTCTGTCCTCGTATATAGCCAGACACATGCCAATCCGACCAACTCCAACTACTCCCGTCCAAAACTGCTGACGCCTCGCCGGCCTTCTAGGCCGGCTGCCGCCGGCGGGCCCGCCCGCCGTCTGACGTCCGCCGCCATTCAGACCAGCTTCCGCAGTGGCGAAATGCGCCGAAGGCGAAGCCCTTTGGGGGAATTCCCTGTAAACTTGCTTTTGCGTTTAACCGATATCTAGATATATAGATAGATAGATCGATAGATAGATAGATAGATAGATAGATGGATGGATAGATAGATATATAGATAGCTAGGTAGATAGATAGATAGATAGATATATAGATATATAGATAGATAGATATGTCGATAGATAGAGATATAGATAGATAGATAGATAGATAGATAGATAGATAGATAGATAGATAGATAGATATATAGATAGATAGATAGATAGATAGATAGATAGATATATAGATATACACATGTATATACATATATATGTGTGTATCTCCGCCGATCCAGCGTGTCAGTTTAAAGGGGTGGGGGTGACCGGGTGGCTTTGCCGGAGATGGGGAGGGGAGGCGGAGGGGGGGGGAGGTCCTGTGGCGTGGGTTCTGGTGGCGTGGGGGTGGGGGGAGGGGGCGGTTCGGTGGCGTGGGTTCTGGTGGCGTGGGGGGGGGTCCGGTGGCGTGGGCTTGCTTAAAAACAAATGGATTTCCTTAGAAACCGCCTAAGAACGCTTGGTTTGCCGGGGAGAGGGGGGGGGGAGGGTTCCAGTGGCGTGGGTTCTGGTGGCGTGGAGGGGGGGGGCCAGTGGCGTGGGTTCTGGTGGCGGAGGGGGCGCGGGCTTGCTTTCAAAACCATTGGAGTTCCTTAGAAATCGCCTCAGAACGTTTGGTTTGCCGAGGGGGAGGGTGGGGGGGGGTCCGGCGGTTTCCGGGGGTCTTTTTAAAGAAGGACCCTCTGTAGATGCGTTCAAGGGGTGGCGCGCGGGCTTTGCAGCTTTTACAGAAGGACCCTCTGTAGATGCGCTCAAGGGGTGGCGGATTCGGTGTTCGCGCGAGAGACAAGTAAGCAGTCGGGGGGGGAGCAGAAACGATAATGGTAATGTTGTGAAAAGTGATCGTGGTGGCGCGCGCGCGAGTGCGGAATGGCGCGGCCAGGAACTGGCCAAAGGCAGCGACAAAATAGTTTGCGCGTGTGGCGTGTGGCGTGTGGCGTATGTGTGTGTGTGTGTTTGTGTTTGTGTTTGTGTTTGTGTTTGTGTTGATGTTTGTGTTTGTGTTTGTGTTTGTGTTTGTGGTTGTGGTTGTGGTTGTGGTTGTCGTTGTGGTTGTCGTTGTGGCTGTGGTTGTAATTGTGCGTGTGCGTGTGCGTGTGCGTGTGTGTGTAAGTGTGTAAGTGTGTAAGTGTGTGTAGGTGTGCGTGTGTTTGAGAGTGCGCTCGTAATGTTTGCGTCTGGGGGTTAACCCCGAGCGACCCGACCCGGATCGGCGGCACTGGCCGAGGGCAACTTGAGTATACATATATATATATATATATATATATATATATATATATACATATATATGGGCACAGTCCATCCAAGACCCCACGCAACTTTCTCAATATCCACGTTTTCATGCGGTTCCCTGGAAGACCCGTCCGCTTGAAGTTCCATGAATCTTGAGGGGACAGCCTCCGTCTCCAAGAAGCCACCTTGTAATCAACAACTTCCGTCGCCAAGACAACACCCAATACTCAACAAGTTCCCGCTTCAAGAGAGAAACCGTGAGGAATCGATTCAAATCCCGATCCGCAAGCCAACCGCCCGCCCACCTGCCCGCTCGCCCGCCCGCCCGCCTTCCGTGTAGCACGCACCATCCTTTACTCAACAGCCTCCGTCTCCAAGACCACACACTGTAGTCAACAGCCTCCGTCACAAAAAAAACAGTACTCAAATCCCGACCCGCCCGCCGCCCGCCCGCCCGCCCGCAGCCCGCCCGCCTTTCCGCCTCCGTTCATCACTTCACAATCGTCCTCTCCATCTACCTCGCCTGCCCCACCCATGTACAGTTAGACCAGACTCTCGCCTTGGGACAACACATCGGGTGATCTTGACTGGACTATACCGATGTCTGTATGCATATTCTGAGATACATGGATACACGTGTATGTGTATATATATATATGTATATATATCTCGATGTCTACATATATGCAAATATAGAGTATGCGAGTGCGCGTGCGTACGTTCATGACACACATACAAAAATACACATACGTGTGGATGTGTACATTATATATATATAAACGTATGTCCATGTGCATATATATCTCTCCCTCTCTGTTTCTCTCTCTCTCTCTCTCGATCGTTCGTGTATTTTACGTCATTCGTAAAACCGTCAACATCGATATGTGTATATGGTATATGGTTGTACATGTGTACAGATGTATATATATATATGTATATATATATATACCGCGTTCAATCCCCCACTGTGCCTCTCTCTCTTTCTCTCTCTCTCTCTCTGTTGTTTTGTGTTATCTCTCTCTCTCTCTCTCTGGTGTTCTCTCGCTATCTCTTTTTGCATGTATGTGTATGTATATTTCCCTCTCTCACTCTGGAATTATATATCGCTGTCTCTCTCTCTCTCTCTTTCTCTCGTCTTTTCCATCGCTCCCCGATTATGTTCGTCTTGTTGTGCGATGTTGTTATGTATTATTTCTGTATTATGCCCTCTCTGTCCGTCTTTTCCTCTCTCTTTTGCCCCGTGCCGCGAAGAAGTGGTGAAATGGCCTCATGTCATCTGGACCTCTCAGTTGTCCCCATTGAAGTCATGGCTCCAAAAGTGTTTGCAGTAAAGGGGCCTATACTGCTCTAGGGAACTGGGCCTGGGTGGCGGTCTGGCGACTCCGCGATCGCCTTCGCCGCCCCGTCGCCGCGTCGTCCCCGCCCGTCGTCTGAGCCTGGGCGACGGCCTGGCGGATCCGTGCTCGCCGTCGCCGCCTCGCCCCCGCCGTCGTCTGTAAAGAGGGGAAAAAACACACACACACACACACACACACACACACACACACACACACACACACACACACACAATTAATCGTCGATTCCCAGAACAAATTGGAAAATATGGGAAGTGGGGGGTAAGACAGAAACCCAGAAAATATGGGAAAACATTGTGAATCTTATTATTTGTGTGTACTTATGTGTGTGTGTCCTGGGGCCCCTTCAGTCTGGGCCTGGATGGCGGTGTGGCGGCTCCGCATTCGCCGTCGCCCTCTCGTCGCCGCCTCGCCGCCGCCCGGCGTCGGGGCCTGGGCGGCGGTGTGGCGGCGCCGTGCTCGCCATCGCCCCCTCGTCGCCGCCCCGTGGCCGCCGAAATAATTCAGCGCAGGTTGCACCGCATGTGCTGCACAGTATAGATTCGGCCACCACCACCCCCCAGGTTATGCTCCCCCCCGGGGATGTCCGATTTACACACGATTCCGGCCCATCGCTCATGTCGCTTCACGTGTTACACACGATTCCGGCCCATCGCTCATTCCGCTCATCGCTCATGTCGCACACGATTTGCACAAGCCATGCACATTCCGACACACGATGTCCGATGTACGAATAATGACTTGATATCAACTAGGCCGGCAATCCCCGCAAAGGACACTCTGTGCGCACACTCATGCATCAACAATCACCAATTTGCAATAATCATTCGCAATAAACGGTTAGAAAGTGCCCACGCGCGCGTCGTCGCGCGCGCATGCCGGAATCCCACAGAAACTTCAGGTTTCGTCTGGGTGTCACAAACGAGTGCCTCGACAACAAGTAACAGACACCTTCAGGGCGCTCTTCTGCATTCCAGCCGAAGATGAGTGGGACGCTGCCTTACACAATGTGGCATACAACACTTGGGTGGCGCAATCGCAACTTCCCCTCCGGCTAGGAGGGGCGGGTTTGCGAAATTCTGGGAGGACCTCCAGGGCCGCCTATTGGGCGAGTTGGGCGGACGCCTTGCCCGACCTACTGGACAGATACCACAACACGGGCAAATAATACTTGGACATCTCCCCGCACTCCAAGCACTTTTTCCGGATGGCATACACGCTGGATCAGAATGCCTGACAGCAGCGGAGATGGCTGGAAAGTGGTGTGCCGACCTATGTTGGAGAGATCGGCCAAAACGGAACGACTTCGCTGCGGGTGCACGCCCTCCAGCCCGTCCCATCGATCAAGACACGGAGGGAGAGTGGCAGCGTGGGTGGCAATTTCACGCGTCCAATGCCGTGGAGCACAGATCACAAAGCCAATTGAAGGTCTTGTTATCTCGGCCGCGCACGCAGAGAAATGCAGCGACACTCGGGAAGACAAGACTGCAACCTTGCACAGGTCCTTTCAGTGCTACATGGCTGACCGTGTGCCCAACGTCCGCGCTGGCGCACATAGAGAATAGCGAACTGCAATGTGCCATGCGGAAAAGATTGGGGATTGGCATCTGCTTTGACGGACCTGACGTCCATGGGCATGCTCGCCTGAACCAATCTCGCGGGGGCAGGTGGCATACGCGGCGCAAGGGAGTTGTGTTGGCATGGAAACATGTGTTCAAAAAGCGGGGGGGGTCGTACCAGACAGAAATGTGGAGAGAATGTTACAAATTACACGCCTACCAGTTTCTCCCAATGACTCCCGGCGGATGGACTTGGTCATTACTGGAACGCACGTGGCTAACGGGCCCTCACTATTCTGTGATGCAGCAATCCTTTCCCCTATTACACGGCGGGGGGGGGCCAAGGCCCGGCACGCCAATTTATGATGGGAAATTATTGGAGCGAGCAGAAGAAGAAGAAGAAAACAACGAACGTATAAAGATGTGATTACTTCAGGACTGGGGGCTCTTCCCTGTCTCAGAGCTGAAGTATTTGGGCGGTGGGGCCCACAATGCATACAACTGGTGCCCGCACTTGCCCGCGAAAAGGGCCGGGGAGTACACGCGCGCATCAGACGACGGATCGTGTTGTGTTATACTCGCCGGTGGTGGGGAATCCTGGGACTGGCCGTTCAGCGCGCGGTCGCCTACAGCGTGCTGCATGAAGAGGCGGATCTATGCTAAACTGTGTCTGAGGAGCCGATATATCGGTGGCAGATTTGCCGCCGCTCTAGCTCCTCCTCCTCCTCCTCCTTCTCCTTGTCCTCTTCCTCCTCCTCCTATTCCTCCTCCTCCTCCTCCTCCTCCTCCGCTGACGCTGCTTGGCTGGCTTGCGGCGCCGCGTGTTTCACCTCATTCGGTTTGCGAATGAGACTTGTAGTATCTGGTCCGCTGCTTGGGCGCAGAAAGAAAAGCGCAAGAGCTTGCAACCTGATGATTCAAAAAAGTATGCCCGTGCTCTTGCGAGTTCTTGCCACAACCATTGGTCGTTCAACGCGTTCATCAAATTCACCAAGACGGGTCTCTCGAGCGCGCACGTCGGAATCACTCGAACGCCCTTGCGCGCGGGCTGAGGGGGCACGACCCCTGTCAAAGAATAACGTGCGTGCCACTCGCGCCCGTCGGCCGCGCGCGCATGTCGAAAACTTTCAAAACCCATCATCATCATCGACTCGTCGGCACCATCACCGTCATCGGCGTGATCAGCATCGGCGCCGTCATTGGCGTTGCCGCCGTCATCGTCATCGCCGTTGTCCTCAGCGTCACCAGTGCCATCGTCGTCATCGTCGTGTGGCCATAATCAGGATCGCCAGGATTGCCGTCACCACCGGACAACATGGTACACACGGGCCCCCCGGACGTCCCGAGCCGCTCCCCTGGACCGGTTTGACACCCTGAATCGTCTCTTGACGGTCCCGGGCCCGGTACCCTGACCTTCCAGAGAGCTATTTTTTAGCACTGGAGACCTAAAAACCTAAACAACTAAACGAAACAGCCTAAAACCGAGACGTAGAATAGCTCTGGGATAGGTTTTTAGGTCGGGTGCTATTTTTTAGCCCTCCTGGAAGGTCAGGGTAAGGGCTCCCAGAGGCCGCAAACAACGAAAGACCGGTCGTCCTGACTTCTGCGCGACGCGAGCACGTCTGGGTTGGACGAGGCCGACGGGGGCCAGGGCGCGGCCCCCGCGCACCTCCTGTAGCACGTCATCGACAGCCGGCGCGACGCGGCTCGACATCCTGCCCTGGGCGGCGCGGGCGGTGGAGGAAGCCGAGGAGGAGGAGGAGGGAACAGGAGGAGGAGGAGGAGGAGGAGGAGGAGGAGGAGGTGGAGGAGGAGGAAGAGGGGAGGAGGGGGGAGGAGGGAGGAGGAGGAGGAGAACGTGGGGGAGGGGGAAGAGGGAGGAGGGAGGGGGAGACATAGGCGGATGAGGTGGAGGATGAGGAGGAGGCGGAGGAGGAGGATGAGGAGGAGGAGGAGGAGGAGGAGGACAATGGCGAGCTTGGGGGGGGGGGGGAGCGGCGGGCCGTGCGAGAGCGCGCGGCCGCGGCCAACCCGAGGCCTTGGGCCGGACTCTCGGGGTGGGCGGAGGGAGGGCCATGAGATCCAGGCATGCCCCTTGTGAAAGGGGCCCTGGGGCACACAAGTAAATTTACACCAATATCCGGATTCCCTATGTTTTCCCATCTTCTCTGTGTTTTTGCCTTCCCCCCCCCATGCACTTCCCATACTTTCCCCAAATTTCCTGGGGAGTCGACGATGCATTGTGTCCGTGTGTCTCTTTCCCTCCTGACCTCGCTTCGCGAGCAGGCAGGGAAGCCATGCGCCAGCCCACGGCACGGAACCTCGGCAAAGCCGGAGGCCACAGAGCTCCGTTCGTGAGCAGCTGATGCGCGGCCGTGCGGTCGCCGCCACCGTCGGGGCAAACCGCGTCCCCCGCGGCCCCGCGCTCGGGATGGGGGCGTTCCCGCGTTCCCTCGAAACTGGGGAAGGAGAGGAGAGCGAGATGGAGGAGGAGGAGAAAGAGGAGGAGGAGGAGGAGGAGGAGGAGGAGGAGGGGGAAGAGGGAGGAGGGAAAGGAGGGGAAGAGGGAGGAGGGAAAGAAGGAGGAGGAGGAGAAGGAGGAGGAGGACGGGGAGGAGGAGGGGAGGCGAGGACATAATAGGAGGTACGAACAAGCCAGCGATCTCGTGCGATCACAAAGTGAGTTGCGCTGTACTGTAGGTCCCCGTGCAAAGCAGGTGACGGAAAGAGCGAGGTACGAATGACGTACGTCATCCGGTGGGGCGAGACCTTTAAGGGAGGGGTTCCAGGGAAGGGGCGAGGCGCGCCAACCCGCGTCTAACGGCCCGTTTCCCGCGTACCTGCTCGAGCGAAGCGGCTCGCGGGCGCCTTCCTTGGCCCGTTTTCTAACACTTGTGCGAGCGACGCGGCTCAAGGGCCCCAAGACGGCCCAAGCGGGCCCCCAAAACGGTGCAAAGGCGGCCCAAGAGGCCCCCAAGAGACTCCCAAGGAGGTCCGAAGAGGCGGTGTGGGGACTGGGCTCTGGCACCAAGACGGCCCAAGAGTTCCAAAACGGACCTCACGAGGGCCCCCGAGAGGGCCTCAGGAGGCCAAATGTCCCCTAAGGTTTTTCAAAGTGTTTGGGGTTCTCGCTTTTTCGGGCCCGGAAGGGCATCAGACGGCCCAAGAGGTCCCCAAGATCGTCCCCAGACGGCCCCAGAGGCCCCCAAAAGGGAACGAAAACTGTCCAAGATGGCCCCCCAGACGGCCCCAGAGGGTCCAACAACAGGCCAAGAAAGCCCCAAGACGGCCCCACGAGAGCAGGGCCCCAAGAGGCTCCCAAGAGGCTCCCAAGAGGCTCCCAAGAGGGTCCGAAGAGGCGGTGTGGGGACTGGGCTGCTTGGGTGTGGGAGCTGGGCTGGCCCCAAGACGGCCCACGAGTTCCAAAACCATCCAAAATGGCCACCAAAGACTCCCAAGAAGCCCCAGAGACGCCAAGTAACACCATGGCTCCCCGCAGCGAGTGGTGTCGTAAGAAGCTCTGAACACCAAGGCTGCCCAGAGCGCGTTGACGTAAAGAGCTCTGAACAGCAAGGCTCCCAAGAGCAAGCGGCAACGTCGAAGTCTCTGAACACCAGGGCTCCCAGCAGAGAGCGGTGACGCAACAAGCTCTTCACGCCAAGGCTCCCCAGAATGAAGGGTGCCATGAGCCCTCTCGGGCGCGTTCCTGCAACGCTCTTTCCGTTCCCGTGCCGGCCCAGGTAACGGAAAGAGCGAGGTACGAGTGATGACGTTCTGGTGTGGGCGA